AATCCGGTTTCCGAGCTGGTCATGGGTGCACTTCAGCCACGCTCAAGGTCCTAAACGATATTATATAACCGCGATCGATAATAGACAGTACTGTGCAGCCGTTTTCATTGACCTGGCCAAGGCTTTCGACTCTGTCAACCACCGCATTCTTATTGGCAGACTAAATAGCCTTGGTTTCTCAAATGACTGCCTCGCCTGGTTCACCAACTACTTCTCAGATAGAGTTCAATGTGTCAAATCGGAGGGCCTGTTGTCTGGACCTATGGCAGTCTCTATGGGGGTGCCACAGGGTTCAATTCTTGGGCCGACTCTTTTCTCTGTGTATATCAATGACGTCGCTCTTGCTGCTGGTGACTCTCAGATCCACCTCTACGCAGACGACACCATTTTGTATACATCTGGCCCTTCATTGGACACTGTGTTAACAAACCTCCAAACGAGCTTCAATTCCATACAACACTCCTTCAGTAGCCTCCAACTGCTCTTAAACACTAGTAAAACTAAATGCATGCTCTTCAACCGAACGCTGCTTGCACCCGCCCACCCGACTAGAATCACTACTCTCGACGGGTCTGACCTAGAGTATGTGGACAACTACAAATACCTAGGTGTCTGGTTAGACTGTAAACTCTCCTTCCAGACTCACATTAAGAATCTCCAATCCAAAGCTAAATCTAGAATCGGTTTCCTATTTCGCAACAAAGCCTCCTTCACTCATGCTGCCAAACATGCCCTCGTAAAACTGACTATCCTACCGATCCTTGACTTCGGTGATGTCATTTACAAAATAGCCTCCAACACTCTACTCAGCAAATTGGATGTAGTCTATCACAGTGCCATCCGTTTTGTCTCCAAAGCCCCATATAATACCCACCACTGTGACCTGTACGCTCTTGTTGGCTGGTCCTCACTACATATTCGTCGCCAAACCCACTGGCTCCAGGCCATCTATAAATCACTGCTAGGCAAATCCCCGCCTTATCTTAGCTCATTGGTCACCATAGCAACACCCACCCGTAGTCGGCGCTCCAGCGGGTATATCTCACTGGTCATCCCCAAAGCCAACACCTCCTTTGGCCGCAATTCCTTCCAGTTCTCTGCTGCCAATGACTGGAACAAATTGCAAAAATCTCTGAAGCTGGAGACACTTATCTCCCTCACTAACTTTAAGCATCAGTTGTCAGAGCACCTTACCGATCACTGCACCTGTACACAGCCCATCTGAAATTAGCCTGCCCAACTACCTCATCCCTATATTGTTATCTATTTTGCTCATTTGTACCCCAGTATCTCTATTTGCACATCATCTCTTGCACATCTATCATTCCAGTGTTAATACTAATTGTAATTATTTTGCACTATAGCCTATTTTATTGCCTACCTCCATAACTTGCTAAATTTGCACACTGTATAACTTTGGATTTAACTTGTCTCCTGAGTGGCGCAGTGGTCTAAGGCACTGCATCGCAGTGCTAACTGTGCCACTAGAGATCCTGGTTCGAATCCAGGCTCTGTCGCAGCCGGCCGCGACCGGGAGACTCATGGGGCGGCGCACAATTGGCCCAGCGTCGTCCAGGGTAGGGGAGGGAATGGCCGGCAGGGATATAGCTCAGTTGATAGAGCATGGCGTTTGCAACGCCAGGGTTGTGGGTTTGTTTCCCACGGGGGGCCAGTATAAAAAATATATATATAAATGAAGAAAAAAAAAGATGTATTAACTAACTGTAAGTCGCTCTGGATAAGAGCGTCTGCTAAATGACTAAAATGTAAATGTATATTATATGTATTTCTGTTGTATTTTTGACTTTGTTTTGTTTTACCCCATATGTAACTCTGTGTTTGTTTTTATCGCACTGCTATGCTTTATCTTGGCCAGGTCGCAGTTGTAAATGAGAACTTGTTCTCAACTGGTTTACCTGGTTAAATAAAGGTGAAATAAAAAATAAATAAAAAAGTCTGTAGGGAGCCTAAAGTATGAATCCAGAAGAGTTCTCTCTGGCAGTGTACGGTCGTTATCTCTTCCTCTTGCTGACACTTCCACCTTCTCAATGCCCTGGAATTGTAGGGAATACACACTGTGACACTTGACAAAGTGACAAGCAACTGTAATTTTCCTCCTTACATCTTATAGAACTCTTATGTTTGCTTATTTTCTGTTTCAAGCATCTGGATGTCTTGCCCACATGTTGTCACAAACACAGCATAGGATCCTGGCTGAGCGTTGGGTCGGAGGTGAGCATATGCCAGTGTTTCATCACTATCTTTTTAATCATTAAAGCTTTGGGGGTGAACGTAGTAATGCAAGTAACAGAGAACTCCTTCTAAATTGTAACACTTTTTTTGAGTATATCCTGCCAAGGTTTAGAGAGCGCAATTTGGTATGCCTCTTCCACACACAGGGTGGAGTAACCCCTGTCCAGAAAACATTGTTTCATGTTGACAGCTTTATCAATAAAGTCCTATAGAACTGGCTCTTGGGTAAGCCTTTTTTTAAGGGCACTAGGATGAGTGCTACTTGCTAGGAGAAAAGCGTTTGTCAGTCTCTTTCTGATACAGAGTGGTGATAAGTTCCCCATTAGCAACCTCTATTCACATGCCCAAGAAATGGACACGCTTATGGTCATATTCAATAGAGAACTTCAGGTCAGTGTTCATAATGTTAAAAAAGGAAGTGAATTCATGGAGTTCTTGTTCAGTGCCAATCCACACACAGAGAATATCATCAATATACCTGAACCATTTGAGGAGAAGTAAGGGTTCCTGGTCTCATCATAGATAAACTTTTGCTCAAAATAGCCCACATATAAATTGGAATAATTACGGGCAAAGGTGGAGGCCATCGCAACTCCACTAACTTGAAGGAACATTTATTTTACGAAGGCAAGGTAGTTGAGCTTGAGAACTAGAGAAGCCAATTCACAGATGAATTCACTAAGTAGTGACATTTCTCTGTCACGTTACTATAGGTAATATTCCAGTGCATCTAGGCCTTTTTCATGAGAGAAATTATTGTAGAGGCTCTGTAGATCAAATGTAGCCCGCTATTGTGTAGCAGAATGTATTAGTAAATTATGTTAATCGCAGATACAGAGCATGCTGCGTTTTTATTTATATATACAGATGCTGTGTTTTTATATATAAATAAAGCATGCTCTAAAAACACATTTTTACAATGCTCTCACATAAATTGTAGAAATGACACTTGGGATAGCATAAAGTAATCCTTCTACCCCCCCCCCCCCCCCCCCCTTAAAAAAACAAAACATATTGTAAAGTGGTTATCCCACTGGCTATAAGGTGAAAGCACCTATTTGTAAGTCGCTCTGGATAAGAGCGTCTGCTAAATGACGTAAATGTCATGTACTGTGTCTAGACACAATTAGGACTTTGTGGCTGTGTTAACTAGTGACGACCGAAACTCATGCTTACCGCCCAACAATGCTTGTCTAACCAATCAGCTTTGACAAAGCATCTCAGTAGGCAGGGTTTATCCGCTTCTTAGAACGCTGGAGTAGCCATTTTTTCTTGTGTGAATGTGAGGCAGATAGTTGATTGAGGTAAGAGTCCCATTCAATCTTTCTTGGTCGATAAAACAAATGTAAATAACTTTACTAAAACATTTGAAATCGATACAAAGTGTATATTAATGTAATGCCTACGAGTACTAAGTAATATTCTCAGTGTTTTGCAGTAGCAAAAGGGTTTTTAGAGTGCTCCTCTTCTCGGACGGATACGTGTGAGCTGGTGGCAATCTCGTTAGCGCAATTGCTAAGCTACGTTAGCTGCTTTAGCTATCTAGCTAGACAAGATATACAATATTCTTTGCCGTTTTCTAGGCATGTCTAATTTCGGTCGCAGAAAAGTTAGCTTCCCTTGGCATTATCATGTTGAGGAAATAATACGCGGCTTATCTGCGTTTTCGAAGTTTGAAAACGACCGGTTTCTGGACAAAGTAGTTAGCTAGCATGCTAGTTAGCTAGACAGCTAACTACATAGTGGTGAGGAGGAGTCTACCGTGTCCGGAAGCGAATTCACTATACATTTTCTGTATTCAGGGTTCACTCAAAACATCGTTTTTAAGCTTTGTTTTACTATTGACAGTTACAGTTGAATTCGAGATTGTATATCGATTTGTTCTCCTTAAATATGTCATCTGATTTATTCGTTGAAGTCTTTTCGCCTCCAGCTCTTAAATAAGGGCATTAAAACTAGGGTTAGGCCGGGTCTCCTGAATTAGCTCGTTTAACCCTTTTCCGTCTAAGCTAGCTGAACTATGCTGGTTTTCCTCAACTTCAAAACTGCTTTGCTAGTTATACAGTCATATAACTAAAATGTTCTGGAAAGAAACTTGAAAATTGTGTATTTTGTTGAATAGTCACGACTGCTTCGAGATATGTGGTATGACGATAGTGGCGAAGGATATCGTTGCCATTGCTACTTAACGCGGATCCAAGTTCAGTTTTGAGATCCACCGGCGTCATTGGCGTAGGGTTAGCTGGACGTTTCTGAATGGTCTTGGAACTGTGACAACGGGAAGCCTCTCCCCGCTTGGCTCGATGGGATATGTAGTGATTTTGCCAAGACAGGCAGATATGTACAGGTCTTGTACCCTTAACCTTTTTTCAACTAACTATCATATTTGTTGATTAAATCGGACTTTATTAACATAACGAGTAATCCAGGAATGTCACGAGGAAACTCAAGGAAATAGAAAAATCACAGATCGCAATGACTACAATGAATGGCTAAATTACTTCCGATCCCTCAATTGTTAATACCTGAAACCAGTGTACTGCACTTTGTAATGTTAATTAACTAGCATCTACAAGTAAGTAGCAAAGGAATTTGATGATAATGTGGTTAGCTATCTAGTCAATTTTGAGATGCATATCCAGTCAGTAATTTAAAGATTTTGAGGAAATGGACCAACAACATTACCTGGATAAGTGGCCCGGGTGGTGGGGCTCGTTGTCTCATCAATGATATTTCCCCCTCTCACCTCAGGCTTTCTACAACACTGCTTCAAGGATGGTCAAGATCTTCATCGGGAATGTCCCTCGGGAGGCAGACAAGGATGAAATTCAGGCATTGTTCTCACAGTACGGTGCTGTCACAGAATGCGCCATTGTCAAGAATTTTGCTTTCGTCCACATGGATGACCGTAAGTCTGCCACCAAAGCCATCCGCAGCCTGCACCTCTACAAGCTGCACGGCACGGCGATAAACGTTGAGGCTAGTCACGGGAAGAACCAGGGAGCCATCAAACTCCACGTGACAAATGTGGAGAAAGGCAATGATGATGAGCTCCGCACCTTGTTCGAGGAGTATGGCACAGTGTCTGAATGTGCTATTGTCAAAAACTTTGCATTTGTGCACATGGACAACTCCGATGAGGCTTTGGATGCCATCAAGGGATTAGACAACGTTGAATTCCAGGGTAAGATTTATGCTGTTTAAGAAGGTTACACTTTAAAACATTTGGCTACTACCTCTCTTCCACCTAATCATGTTTTTTGGCATTTTTCTCCCTAATAGGGAAACGTATCCATGTCCAGATATCAAAGAGCCGTCCCAGGTATGAGGAGGAAGAAGACTACCCCCCACCTCAAAGGGGGGGATACTGGCCCCCCCGTGGCTACCCTGGGGAGAGGCATGATCCTCCACCCCCTAGCTATCTAAGAGGTCGTCACCCACCCCCTCATCACGGGTACCCTGCCCCACCTCCACCACCCCCTCCCCCTAGACGAGCCCCTTACCCAGAGCGTGCTTATGAGCGCGAGAGGGAGACCTATGCTGTGGTGGATTACTATGAGAAATACAGGGCTCGTCCTGCCACTTACGGCATAATGTCCTATGATGAGAGGCGTGTAGGCTCCTTACCCCCTCCTCCCCCGCCCCCCTCTTCCATGGTCAGGGAGCGCTTCATGACCTCTGGCCTCGACCCATACGAGCGTCGCCCCCTCCCTCCTCCCCCGTCCGCGTACTACGCCAGGGACCGCAGTCCCATTCGTAGAGCCCCTCCTCCCACCATGCCCCCCTCCGGTAACGGTTACTCCTATGAGCGTTCCCGACTCTCCCCCGTCTCTCGGCCCGCGATGTACAACCTACCCCGTACCAGGGACCCCTACGCCGACAGGTTGCCACCGCCACCACCGGCCCGCTATTACTAAGCAGCGCACACCGGCGTTTGACTCAAGGTGAGAATAGGCCTGCGCTACAAACATTCTAATGGGAAATGGGAGGCGAAGTAGTACCTATCCTCTATATGGAGGGTCCAAGGTCACTCGATGCACTCTTTAGACGGGCTTCATGCCTCAGTTCTGAGTGAGGAATGGTCTGACAGTTGCTCTTTGCTAAACCTCCAGAATAACTGTGAAATGCTTGAACTGGGAGAAAAAGCATGCGTATAAGATTGCTCTGCGTCAAATCGTAATTCTTAATCCTCTCCTTGGCACTGCTGGTGTATAGGCAAGGATTGAGCTAAACAGAAATCATGTATTGGTAAAAGTGAGGAACTGATATAGAGTATTCATTTCACCATTTAGATTGAAATATTTCACATATTGCTGATGATGATAATGGAACAATTAATGTAGATCGTCTATAAATGGAAACATGTTCGCTGGGGGTGTAACAGGCGCTTGACTTGTGTGTGTGGTTTGCTCTCTTTCCAGGTTTAAATATTTCAACAAGATCTGCGTCCTCGTCACCGCCGTCGTCTCCTGATGCACGCAGCGATTTACCCCCCTCGTCTGTGGCTGAGCGCGTTTCCTTCTCAGGAGGAATTGTAATGCATGACGTCTCGTCATCTAAAACACTTTTATTACACTCGTATTGTTTTGGCCTTTTTGTTTTGCATTATTTTAGTATTGTGCTTTAGGTACCTTTTTAGTCTCAGGCTCCCAGAAGCCTTTTAGTCAGACGTTTTTTTATTTTACGTTCCAATATTTAGTCCTCTTGATATACTGTAACGTGTCATGATACAAACTTTTGCTGTTAAATCAAATTTCTGAAATTTGATGAATGGAAGCTGCAACACGTTATTATGAAAAGGATGTTATTAATATCAAATAATCGTGACTGTATATCGACTTGAATACGAACCATCATGTGTTTCCTTTGAAATTAAACCAGCACGTTTGTTCAATCTACGTCTGAAATTATGACAAGTTATGGATTATGAAAAGGTTGCGCTCTGGGACAATGTACGACGGCGTAATAAAACCACTACGACGGACTACAACAATCGACTAGTTGGTTAACTTAATTGGACAAATATTTGCTGATGGTAGCTAGTTTACCAAGGTGGACAACGTTCTTATTTGTCATCAGAGGACATGATTTTAGTAAATAAAATAAACTGAATTGTATAGTCATTTGGAACTTTTTTTATATTTTCTTGTTAAATCATAATCGTATCACAGATTCTTATATCAGTATCAGTGATTCAATGGCGGATGATCAGTTGCTTCACGATATACTTTAACCGTTGAATCGTGATCATGTAAAGGGGATATATAAATTAATAATCGTCTTCTACCAATGTGAAATAATGTTATCATCACTTATTTCTTCCCTCAACTTCAAGCGCTCAATCACAATTGAACTATATCAATATGCCCCTTCACTGCCCATCAATTTATTTAGATGTCAAGGGTTGGATTTACAGGGCTTTATTGTCATGTTCCCAGTTCTCACCATATTACATATTAGTCATTTAGCAGACGCTCTTATCCAGAGCGACATACAGGAGCAATTAGGGTTAAGTGCCTTGCTCAAGGGCACATCGACAGATTGTTCACCTAGTCGGCTTGGGGATTCGAACCAGCGACCTTTGGGTTACTGGCCCAGCACTCTTAACCACTAAGCTACCTGCCACCCCTTGGCATGATGGTGTTCTGAGCACCCTTACTCTGGAAGAGTCTTTGGAGAGATATTCTTGGCACAGCCTGCAGTAACCTAACCAGGTAAGATGGGAATCGGATCAGTTGTGGGTTGTATGAAACTCAGGGTTAAAGATGTGATGAATTTAGGTACACAGGAGTCAAGGTATTTTGGCCAAGAGGTGTTTTCCGAATTTAGTACAGGAAAATGGCAAAAGACCTCTGTGTGCTTGATTTAGGCCGGGCATGGACAGGTAATGCAGTTTTATGTTATTCCTTTCCAAACTAAATGTATGTGTCTTTAAAGGGGCAATCTGGGATTCGTCAACATTTTGGGAATTAAATTAATTATATATATGCCTAGCCATTGATTCTTAAAGAATATAGCTTTAGTGCCTCGTGACCTTAGTTCAGCTGTCCTACCCAAAAAAAAAAATCTGAGCCCCAAATATAAGCTTGTTACTCTATTGTTTGTAAACAATGTTTTTAATTGTAAACAAACTAGCTTCAAAACCTGGTCAGCACTATCCTTTTGAGCTCAGTCGTATCAATAGCTCAGTCTATGATTTTCAGTGGTTTCATTTCTCCAGCCCCATCTCTCAGCTGTTAACCAAACAATTGGAGGGGACATTGTTTTTTGAATCCAAGATTGCCCTTCCATAAGCAAGCAGGGACCAAATCTTTCCAGGTCAGCAGGTTCATAGTGATGTGGGGATGTATTCTTTAGTGTGCACAGAAGAAAAACCTTTTGCAACGAAAACATGCGTTTATTGGACAAGTTCAGGTTAGTGAGTCTCCCCGTTTTGGCCTGTTTGGTTCCTAATGAATGCATTCCTGCGTTCGATGTTCTAGGCCCCTGTTAAATTTAAAAAGTATAATTAATTGAGCATTCATATGTACTGAAACCTATACTGGAAATAGTTATATTGGTTTGTAGAGCTGTCATTCCTACTATCCAGTGCCTTTTGGTCCTCATAACTTTTTTAAAAACAAGTGTGTGTGATAGATACATATTATATATATTCACATACACACATTTTATATATATACAAATATACATACATGCATACAGTGAGGGGAAAAAAGTATTTGATCCCCTGCTGACGTTCGCCCACTGACAAAGAAATGATCAGTCTATAATTTTAATGGTAGGTTTATTTAAACAGTGAGAGACAGAATAGCAACAAGAAAATCCAGAAAAATGCATGTCAAAAATGTTATAAATTGATTTGCATTTTAATGAGGGAAATAAGTATTTGACCCCCTCTCAATCAGAAAGATTTCTGGCTCCCAGGTGTCTTTTATACAAGTAACGAGCTGAGATTAGGAGCACACTCTTAAAGGGAATGCTCCTAATCTCAGTTTGTTACCTGTATAAAAGACACCTGTCCACAGAAGCAATCAATCAATCAGATTCCAAACTCTCCACCATGGCCGAGACCAAAGAGCTCTCCAAGGATGTCAGGGACAAGATTGTAGACCTACACAAGGCTGGAATGGGCTACAAGACCATTGCCAAGCAGCTTGGTGAGAAGGTGACAACAGTATGTGCGATTATTCGCAAATGGAAGAAACACAAAATAACTGTCAATCTCCCTCTGCCTTGGCCTCCATGCAAGATCTCACCTTGTGGAGTTGCAATGATCATGAGAACGGTGAGGAATCAGCCCAGAACTACACAGGAGGATCTTGTCAATGATCTCAAGGCAGCTGGGACCATAGTCACCAAGAAAACAATTGGTAACATACTACGCCGTGAAGGACTGAAATCCTGCAGCGCCCGCAAGGTCCCCCTGCTCAAGAAAGCACATATACAGGCCCGTCTGAATGATTCAGAGGAGAACTGGGTGAAAGTGTTGTGGTCAGATGAGACCAAAATGGAGCTCTTTGGCATCAACTCAACTCGCCGTGTTTGGAGGAGGAGGAACGCTGCCTATGACCCCAAGAACACCATCCCCACCGTCAAACATGGAGGTGGAAAGATTATGCTTTGGGGGTGTTTTTCTGCTAAGGGGACAGGACAACTTCACTGCATCAAAGGGACGATGGACGGGGCCATGTACCGTCAAATCTTGGGTGAGAACCTTCTTCCCTCAGCCAGGGCATTGAAAATGGGTCGTGGATGGGTATTCCAGCATGACTATGACCCAAAACACACGGCCAAGGCAACAAAGGAGTGGCTCAAGAAGAAGCGCATTAAGGTCCTGGAGTGGCCTAGCCAGTCTCCAGACCTTAATCCCATAAAAAATCTGTGGAGGGAGCTGAAGGTTCGAGTTGCCAAACGTCAGCCTCAAAACCTTAATGACTTGGAGAAGATCTGCAAAGAGGAGTGGGACAAAATCCCTCCTGAGATGTGTGCAAACCTGGTGGCCAACTACAAGAAACGTCTGACCTCTGTGATTGCCAACAAGGGTTTTGCCACCAAGTACTAAGTCATGTTTTGCAGAGGGGTCAAATACTTATTTCCCTCATTAAAATGCAAATCAATTTACAACATTTTTGACATGCGTTTTTCTGGATTATTTTGTTGTTATTCTGTCTCTCACTGTTCAAATAAACCTACCATTAAAATTATAGACTGGTCATGTCTTTGTCAGTGGGCAAACGTACAAAATCAGCAGGGGATGAAATACTTTTTTCCCTCACTGTATATGATGTATGTATGTGTGTGTGTGTGTAAATACAGTGGGGAAAAAAAGTATTTAGTCAGCCACCAATTGTGCAAGTTCTCCCACTTAAAAAGATGAGAGAGGCCTGTAGTTTTCATCATAGGTACACGTGAACTATGACAGACAAAATGAGAAAAATAAATCCAGAAAATCACATTGTAGGATTTTTTATGAATTTATTTGCAAATTATGGTGGAAAATAAGTATTTGGTCAATAACAAAAGTTTCTCAATACTTTGTTATATACCCTTTGTTGGCAATGACACAGGTCAAACGTTTTCTGTAAGTCTTCACAAGGTTTTCACACACTGTTGCTGGTATTTTGGCCCATTCCTCCATGCAGATCTCCTCTAGAGCAGTGATGTTTTGGGGCTGTCGCTGGGCAACACAGACTTTCAACTCCCTCCAAAGATTTTCTATGGGGTTGAGATCTGGAGACTGGCTAGGCCACTCCAGGACCTTGAAATGCTTCTTACGAAGCCACTCCTTCGTTGCCCGGGCGGTGTGTTTGGGATCATTGTCATGCTGAAAGACCCAGCCACGTTTCATCTTCAATGCCCTTGCTGATGGAAGGAGGTTTTCACTCAAAATATCATGATACATGGCCCCATTCATTCT